CAAACTGTTGATCAGTCTGTTTTATGCCATTTGGCTTCCAACCTCCATCCCAGAAGTGACTGTATCTTTGTGTTACTGTCTGTTTATTGTAGGTAAAATGATATGGAATACTTCTGAATGAAAAGTGAAATGTTTATACATATATGAAATGTTGTTGTTGTTGTTGTTTTCCTTTTCCTTCGGCTACAAGAGAAGGAAAACACCCACTAAAGACAAGACATGACATTTTCAGTTTGCTACAGGTTGAGTTGTAGAAGAAGAAACAATGCTAATCAACTTCCCCCCCACCCCCACTTTCTCTTTCCATATCTTCTCTTTCTCAATTTTAGTACATAAAGATCACTATGAGAACTTGTACTGTGTGATCTCTGGAGAGAAGCACTTTCTACTGCATCCACCCAGTGATCGTCCCTTCATCCCATATGGTATGCGATTTAGTATGCGTGCGTATCCATGTAAGTTTGTATATGTGACAAAGGAAAATAGGGTGTGCGTGGGGTCAGTCTGGGATGCACGGTACATACAGCATGTAGCACAGGTCTGGGCCGTGCACTGCATGTGTTGCCCATGCTGGTTTGGCCTTACATGCTAGATCTGGCACGTGAAGCTGGTTTATGGGCTCTATCTGGACTGGTCCCAGATTCAATGTGCAGGGCTGGTCCAGGACAGTGCTGCATGCTGTGCATCCCCCAGACTGGCCCCGCACCATGTGTAGCCCATGCCAGATGGCCTCCATATACTGCATGCAGCGCATAGGGCTGCTTCCAGTGTGTGCTGCTTTGCAGCAGGCAGCATTGAGGGCCATATCTCTGGTACCCTTATTATACAGGATGGACAGTGTACACATTTCCAGTTAGTATTTGTGTATTTTCTTTGGTAACTTTTATATGCACTAACATCACCAGTGCAATGCAGCTGTGAAAAAGGCTATCGCAATCTTAAGTATGTTAGATAGCATATATAGACTACAGACAAAGAGGTACTAATTCTATCATACAAGGCATTGGTAAGACCCCATTTAGAATACTGTGTGTGGTGGTTAAAAGGATGAACTTAAACTGGAACAAGTCAAAAAAGACCCACTAAGATGATCAAAGGAATGGAGTCCTCTCATAGAAGAAGATTAAAGGAGCTTGCCTTGTTTAATTTAGCAAAATCGTGACAGACAGAATTTGCTTGCTCTTTACAAATACGCTTGTGAGGTGAATTTTAGGTAGGGGAAAGCTGGGTTTTTGGTTGTAGCCATGTTGGTCTAAGGACATAGGCAGGCAAGCTTCTTTGGGTAGATGTGATATCTTTTATTAGACCAACTGAGTAGTTGGAAAAAAGTTCTTGGCAAGCTTTCAGGTGCAGTCACCCTTCTTCAAGCATAAGGAGTCTCTGCTGTTCTGAGACTCCAAGGGATGAGAGAAGCTAAAAGTGTGGCAGGATGTAAATTAGGTAGAAATTAGAAAGACAAAAGGTAAAGCAGGTAAGGGAGGGGAAAGAAAGCAGGGGGAAAAATTAAAGTTTCTTTCATTTCTATTTTCCTGATTTCCAACTATTTTCTTTTTCACAGACAGCATCTTTTCTACCTTGTTTTCTATCACTGTAATGTCTCCCTTTGGCCGGCCTGCCCCCCCCCTTCTCCCTCCCTCCCCTGCTTTACTTTGTCGATCGGGACATGCTGTGGTTCTGGGCGGGGCGGGGATGCCCTGATCTCCACCCGGAATGTGCTGACTGCATCCACAGCTGACACTGGTGCCTGCCCACGGCTGCTTCCACCACACTATGTGGGTACTGGTGTAAGCTGCAGATGCAGCCACCAGGTTCTAGGCGGGGTTGGGGATTGGGGTGTGCTGCAGCTCTGGGCAGGGTGAGGACTGGGGCATGCTGCACTTCCAGGCAGTGTGGGGATGGGGAGAGGAAAGTGAGAAAGGTGTGGCCCTTGAGAGCACACCAAAACTCATTAGTGGCCCTCCAGCCAAAATACTTGCCCACCCCTGTGCTGTAGGGTGTCCTTGCCGTTTTATATGTAGCTCCCTGTAGTTGTGTATTAGGATTTGAAGTGGCAATTTTTACTTTGAGTTAGTGATCGGGGGGTGGGGGGGGATGTTGTTTGGTTAACAGTTGCCTATACACACAGAGGACTGGATCTGATGACCCAGGACCTCTTTCCAGTCCTATGTTCCTATGCTGACTTCAGTGTGTGATTTTTATAGTGCCTTTTTAATCATATTGTGCTTACACTGTTTGCTACTTGGAAACTCATATCATGTGGTTTACTTTCTGTAAAACATGCTATTGCTAAGGCTGCAGTTTTAGGACCTACTAATAGGACAAGTCTTGAATTTTGAAGATGAGGTTAATGGAAAGGAAACTGCTGGAATGCAGTATTAGAAAGCCGTAAGTGCCAAAGCAATGAAAGCAGAGTAACTAAGGTTGTCCACATATGATAAATCAAGTAGGGTGCATCTAGAAATGAAAGATCAGCCATAAGTCATTAATTCTGAGGCCTGTCTTGGAGAATGACTGAAGCTGTGAAGACAGAATACAATGCTGGGTAAGTAAAGGAAGAATTTGTGACTCGGACAAGGAAGATGAGATACTAGTACACAAAGAGTGGGATCATGAAAGAAAGGTTGTGTGCATTTTGAAGAAGGGGAAAAATAACTCATTTGGAAGAATAAGGGAAGGCATTGTTCATTTTTTCAAATGTTATGTCAGTTCTTCATTCCTTTGCCACAATACTGAACAAGGGGAAAGAAGTAGAGGAAGAGAACTGGAGCTGGTGACGTTTGTCTAATAGTGAAAGTGTCACCCACTGCTACTAGATGTCTTTCTGTGAAATTAAGATGGCTGGCATTTATCTCTTTGTGCCCTGTGTTTCCAGAATTCTACCTCCCAGCAACGTACCACATATCAGAAAATGGCTCATTTCAGGTTGTAGATAAAGAGGCTGTGGACAAGGTATGTACAGTATCTGTATTACAGAGCATTATCAGTTTCTAATTCTGCAAGTTTAAATAAATGAATGAAAAGGAGTTTCACATACTGCACCACTACTCTGAAATTGAACCTATGGCTAGATGATGGATCCACTCTTCACAAAAAATAGGATTAAAGAAGGCTACATTCAGGATTTTATTTTTTGGAAGTACATCCTGTTTCTAAGGAGGATATTTTAAGATATATTGGCTGTATCTGCACATACAATTAGCACATAGCAATAAACTCTGGTTCAGTTCACATTGGATTTTATTACTCCCAGATGCAGTGTTTGCACATGTGCCTGGGATCATAGCATGCTGAACCAGGGCAGAGCAGCCCCAGCTGGCAAGGGGCTCCAGGGGTCAGCTTGCTGGCCCGGCACTGCTTCGATCCAGCTCAACATGTTGCAGAGGAGCTGGCTGGGGCACAAGGGTGCTACAGTGCAGGGCTAGTTGGCAGGCAGCCCCTGCACTGTAGCTGTATCGCCTTCATGCCCCAGCCAGCCCCATCCCATCTACATGTATCTTTTGCTGCATGTAACTAGTCTGCTGTAGGATAGTACTTGTGTCAGGCAGTACTGTTCTACAGAGGAGTTAATTAGTTTACTGCAGCCTAATAGTGCCATACGTGTAGACAGTGATGCTTTACTGTGGAGTTAATTAGTCAGCTCTGTAGTATAGTGTGTCATGTAGTCCCATTGGGGATTACTGCACACTGGGAATCCCTGAAGTTATTAGCTGTTAAAAGAATACACTGTTTTGTGTGCATCACTCTGAAATGGATCCAGCAACATTTTTTTAAGTGAATTCTTAGTAAAGGAACTGATTCCATTAAGGATGAAATGCATTGCTCTTTGTAGACCCTGAGCTAGACCTCTGACCAGGAATGAGTCTCAACCCAGAACAGTACCTTCTAGTGCAATAAAACTGTGATGAACAAAGTATGCTTTCTTATTAGTAGTAGAATGTATTGCTTGTACTTAGTGTTTTAAAGTAGGCGCACCTTGTGAATAATGCAACAGCATGTTTCTTACTGTGAGGAGAAGAAGAAAGATTGGCCAGTGCTTAGGGTAGGGGTGGGCAATTATTTCGGGTGGAGGGCCGCTTACCCAGTTTTGGCAAGCTGTCAAGGGCCGCATGGGTAGTCCCGCCCCTTGACAGGTGCCCCGCCCCCTGGTCACCATCTTGGGACCAATGTCCCCATGTCTTGGAACCAATATCTCAGGGCCAGCACCGGTGTGGCCCAGAGGGGGTGCAGGCTGGCAGGGGTTTGTAGAGCTGGGCTGGGCTGCACCAGCAGGGAGAGGGGGGAGCTAGCTTGGCTCCATAGAGCCCCTGCCAGCTGGGACCCCACGCTCCTGCCACCCTGTTCTGGGCCCTGCTGGCACTGGCGCCTGGGACACCAATGTGGGCCCTGTGCACCCGCTCACTCCCAGTGCCCCCCAGCCCCGGGGTACAGGCAGGGGGCAGTGTGCAGCCCTGAACCCCTGCTCACCAGCAGGAAAGGAGCTGGTGCTGAGCACAGGAAAAAGCGGCCCCTCCTCTGCCCTGTGGCCAGCACTCTGGCAGGCCTGAGCAGGCACAGGCAGCCCCATGCAGGCTGTGAGCGACTGCAGCATGGGGTGCTGGCCACGGGGTGGGCAAGGGGCTGCTTTTCCCCAGGCTTAGCACCAGCTTGTAACCCGACCCCGCTGCCAGTTTGGGTCCCGCCCTGGCTCTGGGCTCGCCTGTCGGGGCTGCACCACAGTGGCAGCAGCTGCTTGGCATGGAGGAAAGCAGCCCCCCCACTTACCATGCTGGGCAGTGTTTGCCACCGCCTCCTCTGGACTGGTCAACGCATGAGCTCCGGGCAGGCAGCAGCAGCAGCAAACACTGCCTGGCGCGGCAACTGGGGGGGCTGCAGCTGCTGGCGCCACAGCACAGCCCTGATGGGCAAGCCTGGAGCTGGCATGGGGCCCAGGCTGGCTGCGGGGGGGGGTTACAAGCTGATGCTGAGCCTGGGGAAAAGCGGCCCCTTCCCTGCCCCATGGCCAGCACCCCATGCTGGAGCCACTCGCAGCCTGTGTGGGGCTGCCTGTGCCTGCTCAGGACAGCTCCTCACAGGCTGCCAGCAGCTGCAGCAGGGACCGCCAACTATGGGGCAGGCAAGGGGCTGCTTTTCCCCAGGCTCCTTCCCTGCCCAGGGTCCTCCTCTGCCCCCCACCTGAGCTTCCTGTCCCGGGTGCAGCCAGGGAACCACATGTTCCCAGGCCAGAATCCCCTGCTGGGGCTTCCAGCTGTGGGGATGAGGCTGGGTGGGCCCTGCTATTGCATGAGCCCACTGGAGTCCCCTGGGTCATTTTTGACAGGAACCAAAGACAGATAAATATTAATTTTCTAAATTTTTTTAGGGGCCCTGTGGGCTGGATAGAATGACCTTGCAGGCCGGATTCGGCCCGCAGGCCGTATTTTGCCCACCCCTGCCTTAGGATGTTGATCTGAGATTCGGGAGGCCTGGGTTCTGTTTGCAATTTCTCTGCAAACATCCTGTGTCATTTCAGACAGCTCAGTTCCTTTGTACCTCAGTTGCTCTTGTATAACATTAGAATAATAGTATTTCCTTAATTCCTGGGATGCGTCTGGAATAAGTACATTCAAGGCTAGGAGCTAGTAAAGTACTGTAGTGAAAAGAGCTATATATTTTCACACAGCTTACAATTCATTCTTGGACCTAATGAAACAAAAGGCTAAGGAGGGAAAGACTGGTTATAGTTACTCCATTTTGGCTTGGAAACATATTTCAACAAATGTTAAGTGACATAAACTCAGTTTACCTACCAGTAGTGGAACCTATATTACTTCATTTAGGAATTCTCCAAGAAAACTCTTCCTTTCTGTCCATTTCTCTCCTGAATTCACTACCTGTTGTCACCTCTACTACCACTATGTCCAAAATGGTTTCCACAGAATCTACAGATGATGGTGGATCCCTTGATCTAGTCTTTTAGAAAGAAGCATTTTGATGCAATAATATGATTTTATAGGATTCACAGCTACATATGATATTTTGTTAGGTTAGGGTATATTTTATTTATCAGCTTCATTTTTTGGGTGTGGATCCTGACTTGTCAAATCTCACCATGTACTTTAAATATTCTTCTCCACGTAGGTACCATGGATTCCAGTGGATCCTTTAAATCCAGATCTGAAACGATACCCAGAGTATGCCCAGGCAAAGCCTTTGCATTGCATAGTAAAAGCTGGTGAAATGTTGTACCTCCCTTCGCTCTGGTTCCATCATGTTCAGCAGTCGCATGGCTGTATAGCAGGTAAGAAGAGCATTTGTGCCAAAGAGACTTGTAGTCTGTAATAGCTCCTACTAGACATGCCTGAGATGCCATTCATTTTCTTGAGCAAGATCAGGTTGGGGCCAAAGATCCTTTTTAAATAGATTCTTTTTCTCCATTCTAATGTATATTAAATATCAGCTGGTTAAAAAAGTGAAATACAGCATTGCAAATATTGGAAGCATTTGTTTTAGTACTGTACTTTCCATGGTCGAAAAGACAGTTGAGTTATACATTAGTATTTCTGAATTATAAATTAGTATTTCTGGCTTCCAGGGCCAGCATTCAAGCCATTTGGGTCTCACTATAGGTCTGCTTTATGCTATCAAGTCTTCCTGGCAAAACTTCAAAACTATGAGTCCGTGCACACACAGCCCCTCTGAGGCAGCAGAGCACCCCACACATCGGCCAGACTTACTCCACTTCTGATGAGTGGAGTGAAGCTTCTGTTGCTGCCCACCAGGGCATGGAGACAGTCCCGCAGCTTCAGCTGGCTACTATGGTCCATTCACCAGCTGGTGCCTTCCCAGAGTTCAGCTTTATGCTCTGGTGGTGTAGTTACCATCCTGGAACTGTGTGGAGGGACCAGAAGTGCGCAGGTCTCCATGTGCTCAGGCAGCTTGGTGGTGGTGGCTGCTGACTACCATCAGAACTTTCTGCTGGCAAATCAGGTAAATATAGGCATAGTCTAAGATGGGTATCAAACTTACCAGGCCCTGTGGGCCAGATGAGGGCCCCAGGGCCAGTTTATGGGTCCACAGACCAACCCTGTACACTGCCTGCAGTGTCCATCCCTGCCTGGCCCCAATGGCCATGGGCAGCACGTGGGGCTGGGGTCTGTGTGCTGCATGTGAGTCCAGTCCAAGGTTCACAGGCAGTATCATGGGCCAGATGATAGGATTCCACTGTCTGTATCTTTGGCATCCGTGATCTAAGGCAGTGATTTTCAACCAGGGGGAGGCACAGGTACTTTGAAACCTTTTAAGGGTATCTTTCTGAGTTCTGTGCAACAGAAGTTTTGCTCTATTATTTTTCTGTTGTCAAAACATGAGTGAAAGCTAAGAGCTGGCATTTTGCAAGGGATGCCTTGAGTGTAAAAAAATTGAGGATCACTAGCCTGAGAAAAGGTTGGACTGCTTTGACAGTTTCCTTCTGCCCTGTCTAGTAACTCTGTTGGAGAATTCAGTATGTACACGTAGCCTCTTATCCATGAAATGCACTGTAATTGTGCCTCACATGTATAGGATGAAGGCATATTTTTTGAGTTTGAGCTAATGGATGCTAGGAGCAAACTTTCATCAGTCACCAAAAACCACTGAAGCTTTCACAATGTGTTTGTCTTGCCTTCTTTTTTAGATACCTAGCGCATTACAGGTAAATTGTGGCCCAAATTAAAATAATAAAAAAATGAGTCCAAATTTGGACGCTTTCTGGTGGTCCATGTAGGGAAGAGGGTTCATTTATCTGTAATACACTAAATATGTCAGGAAGGAGGCTCATATCTAGATTTGGTAGTACATTTAAATGAATTTGGTAGTGTTAGTCTAGATTATAGTAGTTCTAAATACTTTTCCTGCCTCTAATTTGGGAAAGCCAAAGATGTACCTATGCTAATATAGCCCTCTAAATCTGTGTACAAACATGTCCATAAAGCATTTCTTAAACCAAACTGCAACAATTTCCATTTTTCTTTTCTCTCTAGTGAATTACTGGTATGACATGGAATATGACCTGAAGTACAGCTATTATCAACTACTAGATTCTCTCTCAGAGGCTGTGAAACTGGTGTAACAGAGAAAGGAGACTTGGGGCTCATAACTTTTCTGTCTGATATAATAGACTCCTGTTCCTGGGGTAATATTGTGCTTGAGTCAGAAGAACGGAACGTGAATTATCCTCAGCAAATGTCTATAAAAAAATGGATGACTGTGTTGTTTGCCTTTGGAGATGGCATCGTATAGAAGTTTGGTGAAATTTCAGGCCAGTTGGTTACATTTTGTGTTTTGACAAGAGAATACTTGACCTCATTTTTAAGCCTTTGCAATTTGCCTCAGGTTTCACAAGTGAAACAAAATTTTAACAGACCTAGTCCAGGTTTTAGAAACTCCCAAATGCAAACCTTCTCCCTTTTATAAAGTCTACAGAGAATACACAGAGTGGTACCCAAGAGATCTATTTGGTAACTGGCAGAATAATGAAGGAAAAAAAGCTCAGGTATAAATAATGGAATTGGCCTAGGACTTAGGTTCATTACAAGACAACACTGCTTCTTGTTTTCAGGGGTGGTACCTAATGCTTTGAAATAGTGTTATAAACAAGTCAGTCTACAGCTTATTTATATTTTTGTTAGAAACCCTACGTGAGATTATAGAAGTGGGTCTGAGAGAAAATCATGGGCTAATTCTGATTGTTTTCAGTGTTGCCATATACACTTCATCATCCAGACTGCCAGGCATTGTGCTGGGTAGTGGGGGTGTAAGAGGGAGGATGTTTCTTCAGTTATTTTTATAGCTATACCTTTCAGTTTCCTCAGCAGTGACTTAACTGTGAGACTCAAATTCCATCTGGTCCCACCAACAGAAAATCCCATTTGCCAAAGCTTGGCATGAATAGGCAGCCTTTTACTAATGGGGCCCATGGCTTCTGACCCAGCTACTGCCTTGGGCCACGAGTCCCTTGGCTGCTGCTTCAGCTGTTTCTGCTTTGTGTAGAAGGCTCAGCTTTCTTGCTGCCCCCCTCAATGCAGTCTCTCCTGAAAAATGTGCTGCTAAAAAGTGTGGTGAATGAAGATTTGAAGTGGCTTTTAGGGTGATGATGATAAGTAGTGGTTGCAGCGGGGAAGTGGGGGGGAGAACAGCCTTCCACAGAGAGCAGGGAAAGTGGGAGCAGCACCAAGGGATCAGTCTACCATTTAATAAAATCTGGAGTACAGAAGATAGGCTAGATCAGTAGGCTGGGCAGCAGCTGGAGATTGGTAGGTTGTTAGTTTAACATAGATTGAAACAGACCTTCATGAGCCCAGTCCAGTCTCTTACCTGGCTGGATCTTGGCCCATGAGCTATAGGTTTCCAACCCCTGATCTTTAGGTTTGGTAAGGAAACTGTGATGCTATGTTATATCAGCTGGGGTAGATGATCATAAATTCCTATTTACTTAAAACCTTTGAAATGCATGATCAGGCAAGCTCTGTGAATTAACTGCTGTAGACAAAGGCTGCCTAGACATGTGCTTGGGGGTGGGGGCTGTTTTAATTAGCAGTTCCTGGACAGCCGCTCTAATTAAAATGGCTCACCATCATGTGTATTAAACCCTTGTGTGTTTCAAAATGGCCACGAGTTCATTAGATGAGGTTGAGATAAAGTGCCCCGTGGTCATTTTGAAATGTGGGGGGGGGCTTAATATACATGACGGTGAGGTGATGCTGGAGCATTCTAATTAGAGCGAGGACTAGCATCTCTGTAGGTACCCTTAGGCACTTAAATGAGGACTTGCGTAAAATGTAGTCAAAGTACTCATGCTTGTATTATTGAGCCCGACTGTACTAAATATATAGACAGTTCAAAAGATGTAGCAAGCAACATTCTTATTAATAACACGTGACACTTTCAATTTTTGAATAACATCACCAGTCTTCAAAGGTACATACAAACGTTATCAGGGGCATGTTGGCAGCAGCTGATTTTTACATACTGCGAGGCTGGAAAAGAAATCCTTTAACCTTTGTTTTAATCTTTCAAGTGAAACAAATGAATTGTGAGCTTAAACATGTCTTTACTTCTAGTTCTTGCTGAGCATTTACTGAAAATGAGAGATGGATTCAAGACAGCGCTCAGAATCATAACTAGTATAGAACCTCAGGTAGCCTGGAATTCAGGCCTGTTGTAGTACATAGATTGAAACAGACCTTCATGAGCCCAGTCCAGTCTCTTACCTGGCTGGATCTTGGCCCATGAGCTATAGGTTTCCAACCCCTGATCTTTAGGTTTGGTAAGGAAACTGTGATGCTATGTTATATCAGCTGGGGTAGATGATCATAAATTCCTATTTACTTAAAACCTTTGAAATGCATGATCAGGCAAGCTCTGTGAATTAACTGCTGTAGACAAAGGCTGCCTAGACATGTGCTTGGGGGTGGGGGCTGTTTTAATTAGCAGTTCCTGGACAGCCGCTCTAATTAAAATGGCTCACCATCATGTGTATTAAACCCTTGTGTGTTTCAAAATGGCCACGAGTTCATTAGATGAGGTTGAGATAAAGTGCCCCGTGGTCATTTTGAAATGTGGGGGGGGGCTTAATATACATGACGGTGAGGTGATGCTGGAGCATTCTAATTAGAGCGAGGACTAGCATCTCTGTAGGTACCCTTAGGCACTTAAATGAGGACTTGCGTAAAATGTAGTCAAAGTACTCATGCTTGTATTATTGAGCCCGACTGTACTAAATATATAGACAGTTCAAAAGATGTAGCAAGCAACATTCTTATTAATAACACGTGACACTTTCAATTTTTGAATAACATCACCAGTCTTCAAAGGTACATACAAACGTTATCAGGGGCATGTTGGCAGCAGCTGATTTTTACATACTGCGAGGCTGGAAAAGAAATCCTTTAACCTTTGTTTTAATCTTTCAAGTGAAACAAATGAATTGTGAGCTTAAACATGTCTTTACTTCTAGTTCTTGCTGAGCATTTACTGAAAATGAGAGATGGATTCAAGACAGCGCTCAGAATCATAACTAGTATAGAACCTCAGGTAGCCTGGAATTCAGGCCTGTTGTAGTCATTCTACCTTTATGGAGGATCCCAAGCCATGAGGTTCCAGATCATTTGAGAGTCAAATCCAAACTTCTCCGGAGTTTGGAAGGAGACAGGGCTTGGATCTTTTTTTCTAATTTGGCTCCATTTGTTTCAGGTGCGTGTGCGCCCTCTCTCTCTCCCCTCCACTCCCATGTGTACATGCACAAATAACTAAAATAAAAAAATAAAATCCCTAGAATATAGATATGATATATATTCTAGAATGGATATATGCTTTATAGATAACGCTAGAGTTTCAAGTATATGGTTGCAGGCACTGTGTAATCTGCCCACATCCTGCCAGCATGCCACTGGATGAAGCCTCTTTTGAATGGAAGGTGCCCATCATGGCCAGTTGGTTTTGTGGTGTCATTTGCATACTACTAATCTCTCATCTCGTTTTTACTGTGCGTTAGGATCTGATCCTGAGAGCTGCTTATTGCCAAATAATAAAACCAGTGGGAGTTACATGTGCTCAGCAGCTCTCAGGGTCACAACTTTAAGCTGATGAAGGCGTGAATGAAAGTTTTTTGAGATGAAATCCTAGTGTATTCGCCCACCTCTGCACAGCATTGGGACAAACATGGCAGCAAGGTGAATTGACTTTATGGAATGTAAGACAGTGATATACTCCAGTAATAAGATTTCTACCCTTCTGGTTTCAACCCTGGTCCCTGTTCTCCTGTGACTAGGTATCTACCTCTGTGGCTGATATAAAGTGCACTGATGCTTTTTTCTCTACCTCAAAGATGGTTCTATCCCAAGAAATGAAATTTTGTACAAGTTCCGTTACATACATCAATGATTGACTTAGGTACAGTTTGTTTCAGGCTGAAATGTCTGTGGTCATCAGAAAATACAAAGTATGTGCACATAAACTGTGGTAGAAGGTGGAAATGAACAATGTAAACTATGAAATGTTTAAGCCAGGGGTGTCCAACTTCTGACCAGTGTGAGGGGGTGCACACTCCTCAGGCCACAGACCTCTTGGTACAGACCCCACAGGTGCCTCTGCCTGGAGTCCCCCCCTGAGCTGCATAGGTAGTCTGGCTTCCCCCAGCTTCATGGATGTTGGAAATGATTTGACTCCCTTCCCCTTGTCCCATAGGCAAGGTGAACAGCCTGCTTCTTGTTTCGCAGGTGGTGTGAGCAGCCTGGCTCTCCTCTGCTGTGGGGGGGGGGCACAGCCTCCCTTTTGGCTGTGCAGCAAACCAGCACCTCTCTTGCCATTGAGGGCAGTACAGGCCCCTACCAGCTCCACTTCACCTCCACAAGCAGCTCTGCTCCTCTCCACTGCATGAGCAGTATACCCTCCCTTCTGGCTGTGTATACCGCATGGGGAAACTTACCCCTCTCTTGCCTGGTGGGCAGCCTGGATCTCCCTCTGCTATGCATGCAGTGCCCTCCTGCTGCTAGGCTTACTGTCCCCAGGACTGGGCTCAAGAAGCAGAAGCTGGAGGAGGGAGGGAGAGCCTGGAGAACCCAGCCACTGCAGAAGCAAGGGCATTGTGGGGACCAGTAGTTGGTTAGGAGCTCAGGGGCTGTATTTTTACCTCTGGAAGGCCAGATGCAGCCCACAGGATGCCAGCTGGTTAGCTCTGGCTTAAGTCATTATTGTAAATGTCCAAACAGTGATCCTGGTATTTAATGCAGTTTTTCACCACTTTATTGACTCGGGATGCTATTGAATTTTCATTGCTGGATACGTGGGTCGTTAACCACTAACCTTGAGGGCTGAGTGGTTTTTCTAGTTACTCCTGCTCGAACCCATCTTCAAAACAGAGCACCTGCTCCCTCAGAGTTTTTGCCGTGAGCGTTTTAAGCAGGTGGAGAACTTGTTCCCCTTCATCTATACTTACGTCACGAATTCTGGGATCCTCCAAAAGTTTATGTCCAGATGAGGTGCAGGGCAACCTGGTATCTATGTATAGTGTATGTCAAGGGAAATGAAGACAGTAGGAGGCTGTAGCTACAGTGTCCCAGCATAACTAAATGCAAGCACCTCTCTATTATTGCTTTAAGTTCAGTTTGTAACCAGTTACTGACATGGCTGCTTCTGAATATCATTTGTCTGTATATTGCATTATGTTAATACATGGCTGGCAGCCATAGCAGCTCATTGTGTGTCATCTTTGCCAGTAGCTCCAGACTATCAGGACCTAGAACAGTGGTTATCAACCTGTTTATACTCAAGGCACCCCTCAGAGACTGCCAGCTCTTAGCTTTCACTCCTTTTTTGACTACAGAAAACTAATAGAGCAATTCTTCTGTGAAAAAGAACTTGGAAAGAACACAAATAGGTCAAAATTGTTTTTGTCACTTTAGATTCCTATTTGAAATCTCTGGGTTTATGTTGTGAATCATTTGTAGATATTTACACATCTAGTGGTGCCAATATTGCACAGCACCCTTAAAATTATCTTATGGCACCCTAGGGTATTGTGGTATGGTTGAGAATTGGTGTCCTAAAAAAACAAGGATTCTGACATCAAAGAGAGAATCTGGAAATGGAAAGGTCATCATGGGCATACGATGTACTGAGAATTTGATGAGAACATGACATTTTGTGTAAGGACAAAGCATCATCATTATCTGCATGACTGCCTTCAGCTAGAGACAGGTAAATCATTACATCTTGTAATTCTTTTACTGAATATTATGAACTAAATGCTACAGCTCCAGTATATGAAATCTGTTCCTATGTTCATTCTCCTGTGGGAGCACCTCCATTTGTTGTGTCTCACACAGTCTGAGGCATTCAAACAAAACATTTATTTTAAATTAATTTGAGCCCCCAGATGAACAAATTTCACTAGCCTATATAATATCCCTACTCTGCTTAGAGTCCCATTTTCAGAGCCCCTTTGTGCAGAGATAGTCCTGTCATTGTTAGCAGGGCTTAAATAGATGCAAGATTGGTGAGGTGAGGTAATATCTTTTATTGGACCAACTTATGGTTGAGAGAAATATTAGACAATCTTTCAGGTACAAAATGTCCTTCCTTGGGTCTGTGAAAGCAGCAAGCACATCACAAGCTAACTATCAGAACAATGTAGAGGATGTCACTGCAGAGCAAAGGTGACAGTGTTCTGTTTTTTTCTTCAGTGTCCCATTGCAACACTGGGAGGTCCTGCACTTACTGCTCCCCTGGTAGCTTGTCTGCTGCTTCCTGTAGATTCTGTTTCAACTCCAGTGTCCGTCGAGTTAAAGCAGCCCAGTAACCTTCTCATCTGAAAAATGAATAAACCTCGGTATCACCTTCCAATCTTGTTCCTGCTCATGCCATGCTCAACATTCACCAAAGGGTATATGTCACTCCTAGGTGCATCATCCTATTTCTTTTTGTTGATATGTTTTATTCTCCCCAAACAGCTTGCTTAGCTATGGGCTAATGTAAGCAATGTCTTGCTTAGCTGACTCTCATGTAAGACAAAACCTACACCTGTCTGAGTGCAGCAATGTGGTTTGGAGAAGGTGACTTCTGAGGTAAGCTAGTTGTTCTTCACAGCCTACTGTAAAGGTAAGTAGGAGGACCCCTGGGGAGGGGATCAGGGGGACATTTCAAGGCAAAGGTGAGAAAGGAAGATGGGAATGGAAGGAGGAATTTGGCCAGTGGAATAGGAAGCTTGATTGGTAAAAGGGAAACATGGGGAGCTACGAGGGGCATTTAGGAGAGAGTGAAAGGACATGGTGTGGGGGTGGGGGGCAGGGAAGATGTTTAAAGGGACACTTAGGATAAACAGATGTTCCTTGTCATTTAAGGGGTAAGTGTCTTCCATGGCTTTTTTTTTGTGGGTGGGAAGGGGATGGAGCTCTATCCTACAGTGCAATATGGGGAGTTTTGGATGGGTGCTACCACTAGCACCTTCCAACAGCCAGGAACTTAATCTAGTAATAGTCTTCAAAAACATGAAGCACTTGTGCATTCATATCTCATCCCTTGCTGATAGCACTCTGTCCGCTAACCATAAGCTGAGCCTTGTAGCTCACAGGGACTGTATACAATGTCTGGAGGCATTCTCTGCTTACACACACTATGGAGGAGTTTTCTGGATCTGGCAAGATCATGCGTAGTTCAGCTAAACTGCATCTCAGCTGCAGGACATCATCTTGTGACACCTGACATGGAGTGTGCAACTTTTTATTGTAAATATTTAAATTCTCCTTTTGGTTTCTGTCTCACTGTGTGAAAGAATGACACAAAAAAGATCATCAGTCATCATTTTGATAGAATTTACTAACACTATACTTAAATCTCTAGGAGGTAAAAGTATTAAATTAAAAAAACCACACTCTTTGATCCTTGGTCTTTAGCACATTTTACTTTATTACTGTTAGTCATGTGCATTACAGCTGTACCTTTGACCCTGTCAAACGGGACTCCATCATGCTAGGTATTATACCAGCAAAATGCCTGGCTCCAAAGAGCTCACAGTCTAAATAGACAAGACATAAGATACAATAATAAAAGGCAGAATGGAAAAGGTGATGGCAAGAAGCACATTCAGTGTTTTTTTTCTTGAGGGAGCATGGAGAAGATAAACTAAAAAGAAACAAAAGGGGGGTGGGGAATAAGAGTAGCAGAGGGAAGGCTGAGTGGGGAGTTGGAGGTACAACCAAATAGAAAGCCTGTTGAAACTGCAAAGAATGGGTTTGACCCAGCTAGTTGCAAGTCAGATTTCTAATATCTAATTTATTATGATGGGACCTAGGTATAGCAACCAAATGAAAAAAAAAAAAAAAGTGGTCCTTATAGACTAATTTAGAGAGATGTAAGCTTCTGTCAGCAATGTTTTGCTTTGTCAGATGCTATAAAAGCTATAGTCTCAAAGCTATAGTTACAGCCCCTTGTGCTATGCAACGAGGTGTGGACAAACAATATGTTTGGTACAGAGTAAATGAACTACTTCATAATAAAAAGTGCACCAAATGTACAATACAGAGCTTTACACCAGGATAAGTCACTTCATTCTATGGAAAAGGTACCCCTCAGAAAGTGGGGCATTACACCAATATACCAGTTGTGTGTCTGCTCCCCTAGTCAGTTCAATCTCAGGGTACCCTTTTGCTCTGTGTAAACTGGCTTCCAAACTGCCTCATCTCCAGGTACTTTAATAGCATGCACAACTGGTAGCCAAGCTGCAGCTGAACTGCCCAGCCCCAGTTCCTGAGCTGGGTGGTCACTGGTCAGGCAGCAGTGCTTACCATGTTCTCTTAGCCATGGATGTGAAGGGCTTGATCATGACTTCACTCCTTTTTCAAAATCCTAGATGCACTCTTGCTGGCAGTCAGTTTGGGAAAGCTGTTTATGTGTCTGCTCCTTCCCATGTAGTAAATGTACTGTGGAGTAAAATCTGGGATAAATTACTCCATAGTGTCATAACCCAAAGGTATGATTTTGTGTGTGCTTCAGCACTAGAATTATACCCACTAAATTGCAGCTTCGTTGCACGGTGGAGTTTTCTGCTGCAGAGGAGAACCCCGGTGCAAGGGAGAATTTCCCACCAATTTGTAGCTTAATTTGCAGGGTGCATTGCTCAAGTTGCAAGAGAAATGCACGGTGCAAAGGAGTTCCCGCCACCCGCATGCAGATTTGCTCCCCGCTATTGGCTAGTTCTAAATTATTCCCACGTGGCGGCTAATGATTTGCCTGCTAGTCAGAGGAGTTTGGCAACCTGATCCATCGCCCACCTCTTTCCGTCTTCGAGCGATAATTTTTATAAGACGTATCTACGAAGTTTCTATTTCGGTGGCGTGCTTGTCCAGGGCATCCGGAGCTTTGTTTCCGTGGAGCCTAGCAAACTCCATGTGGTCGGTCGTGTTGTTTTGTCTGTAACCGCAACTCAAGCAAGTTTTCCAGCCTGCACCGCAACCATCTTCGGTGTAAGTAAACAATCTTTAAATCTACCATTACGAGTCCGTGCCTAATTCTAGCGTGTCGCGCGTTCTCTCCGACCCCGCGTGCCCGGGCTGCTGGCCACAGCCCGCGCGGAGCACAAAAAAGGGCCCGGCTCGCGCCCGGCCCGCACACATAGTAATCATGTCACATCTGTACCCTAATTCATATTTCAAGTACTCAGGAGCTGTGAGTTGAGTCTTGTCACAGTGGGCAAATACACCATCACCATCAACCTCCCTCCCATTCATAAGCTGTCCTAGATACCGCACCGTCAACCTATTACCAGAAATTATCTCTAAGGTCTGATTTTTATAGTGGTCAAAAAGGTGGAGGGGTCCATAACATGGAGAGGAATATTGAGTAGCCTGAGTGCTGAGCTAGACAGGCAGAGAAACTTGCCATAGGAGGCATTTATAAAGAATCCATAAGGTAGATTAGGAATTTTACTGGCTGGGAATTTTTTAGGGCATAAAGCAAAGGCACCAGCCTGCCTTAACTCCACCCTGAGCACAGGAAGGAGCAGACTGTTCCTTGAATGCCACAGAAGTACTGCATTGTTCTTAAGCTGGTACAGACTATCTCCAAAACTTTAAACACCAAAGCTCGCAGCATCTCAGAAGATTTTCAATCACCTAACAGAAGCTGTGATATTTAGTAGATGTCATGTGGTGCTGAGCTTGTATCCTCCCGGTAAGTAGACATGCCTTTTGGCTATAAACCTCTGCAAGTTCAGTAGAGAGTGGCGCTGTTGGGATTCACCCTGATGAATATGGAAATGGTCACCTGCCATCTGAGAGGCTCAGTGTTTGATGCTGGTGTTTGTCTTCTTCCCTCAGACAGGTAGGGAAGAAGCAAAGGCACCAGCCTGCCTTAACTCAACCACATCAGATTGAGGTTCTTATGGGTGGGCATTTTTGGATAAGAGATGCATTGAAGGAATATGCTTTTTGAAATGCAGGAGCTAGAGAGGGTGGAGCTCAGAGTCTGCGTGAATTAAACCTGTCATGCAGCACCACAGTATTTAACAGTGAGTGACGAGCTGTGGGCATGCCTGTTGGCCAGCACACCATAGCTCTTGCTGATCAAGTGTCACCTGGAATCGGGCCATCTTTCCCATCTATCCTGCCAATCACAGAGACTGCAATGGTTAAGGTATGAAAACTAATAAAGTTTTCCTGTGTTTAAAATTTGACAGAGACCTGACTATTCAGGAATTATATAGCAAGTCTCAAAAAATGCACTCTGGGTCCTCTGAGATGTGCTGCTAATAGGAGATCACGAGAACTGAATCTTGTGTTTGTTTCATGGAGTGCTCTAAGGAAGCATTTAGCCAGCTAGCAGTGGGAAGCAGCAGGATGACCCTGATGTTTTTCAGTCTTTGAGGGTGTGTATTTTTCCAATAATAATCACTTTCAGTTTTTTTCAAGAAAAATGATTAATGTTGTTAGAGACAATTCAGTTAGGGTGTTTAAGTGGATTAAGCTCTGCTGTCAGCTACACCGGTCTATATCTCAGTAAATTCCATTGGCTTCAGTGGACTTAATGATGTAACGCATGCATCTGTCAAACGATAGGTGGGTGGAATTCTACTGCAGTTATAAAGATTCCTGTACGTAGATTTGTGCAAGAGGCTTTCCATCTGTGAAGTGATTTGAGACCGCTCAGTCTAAAAGACTCTTTAGAAATATAAGATACTATTAGAAGCTATTCTTACTGTTTATTATAGGCAGAAGGCAAGATAGAGATGTACCTTCTTCAGACTAACACAGCTAGCTTTGTTTATTATAGCTTACACTACCATTAATTCTAGTGTGTAATCATATACTTCACTCATCTATGCATTCAATGCAAAGATTAAAATTGTGTTTTCAGAGCTGTTCCTATCTGCAAACATAAGAAGCAGTTGAGAAAAAGTGTGCAGCTGGGCTAAAGAAAATTAACCAGTGATGCATTATTATGATAGAGAGAATGTGGCAGCTATTTCATTAATTAATAAGACTCTTAGCTATTAAGTTGGTAATAACAGTATAAATGGATGGTTAGATAGCAACTTTTCCCAGGTAGGGAACACTCTTCTAGAGCTGTAGTCAGACAAAACAGCCAGAAACAGATCTAAATTAAGAACCAGGATCTGTGGTGTTCCTTCCTTTAATAAACTACTGAAGCCAGGTTTCCTGAGTGATTGGGATGACAAATTCGGTTGTGGACCAGCAGATGCTTAATCTCCGAGGCTATTCTGGAGAAAAAGATTGTTCACACTGAAAGTAAGTGATCCAATCTCGTATCCTACTCTTAGGAAATGGTATGTTTGGACTCTCTTTTACCAGGGCAAGTTATGACTTGCCTGACTTAGAATAACTAACTGGTGCCTAAGTGTGTGATCCATTGATCATTTACATTGTAAGATGTAAGATAAGATATATATTTTTAAATGTAAACTGCATGGACAGTCCTTGTAGCAGAGACTAGAATCTGGATTCCATCCTCTTACCTGAATATCTTACCTATACTCCAGCTCCAGAGGGATTCTCCATCTTACTTGTCCTCTCCTTCTGGCTCCTGTGACTTCTGCATTTTTGGCTGCATGGTGACACAGTTTCTACAGGAAAGGCAGAAGAATCCCTGTCACCCAGAATAGCCTAAAGCCTCATGGTTTAGGGCACTCTCCTGGAAATAGAAGACGTGGGTTTGAGCACCCTCAGGCTGAAGAAGCAAACCCATATCTCCCACTTCCTGAGAGACATCTCTATCTAGTAGGTTAATAAATAAAAGGTAGGGTGATAATAGCACCACCACCTCCTGCTCCCTTTTCAGCTGTGTATTAAAATTAAGGAATTACAACTACATTTTTGAGGAACTTGATTGTAGTGGTGTGCTATGAGCATGGTTGCCACACCAGCCCTTTCACAGGAGTTAGGTGGAAAAATACCTATGTAGGTTTGATGTCCGATTGGGTTGAGGGAGGAAATAAGCATGAAGATGCTCAGTTCTGAGCATGTGCAGAAATAGGACTCTCTTAATTTCTCAGAAAATGTTCAAAATAAACAAGGCGGCAAGTACTGAATGCAAGTACTGTGAAGGCTAGGCAATAACAGATTTTTTTTTTTTTAATCAAAGTTTTGACCTTGGGCCTCTCACTGTACTTGTGCCAGAACAGCCATAAATTACCTTGTTTTCATCAGATCTTTTGTGAGAGAGGAGCTCAGCAAGGAGCAGGAAAGATAACCTTACATACAAAGGAGAAAGGGAAATGCATGAACAGAACTAAAATATATCCTTTCATGGGAAGAAAAAAATTCTGCCCCAAGATAAACTGGGCCAGTTTTGAAAATTTGTTACCTTGGGTTATTATCTAGTGGAGAAAAGGATAATGCAGAATATTTTAGGATTTTACAGCCACATCTGGGATGATATGAATACTTTGTGAATGGTTTGAAAGTTAAGGGTAAGTTAGAAAATGACTGAATGGTCAAGAGCTTAGTTTTTTATTGAACTGGCTGCAATTCCTCTGAAGGTGCACATTGTTCTGAAATGTACAAGTTGCAAGATTAATCATTAATAAAATCCAGTTAATAAAATAATCCTTAGTGGTGCAAAAAGAGAAGACAGTGAATTAAGATGCCACCATTCACAAGAAATCAGGGGATGTTTTAAACAAATATGAGTTTAAAACAAATGTAAAACTCATGTAAGCACTATGATTCTGATTTCAAGTTGCTTATTTCCAACCTTTGATCAGGATAAAGCAAAATAACAGTTGCATAATCTTACATGCGGAACAAATATGGACAGCTAACAGGAGAACAAACTGTGCTTTGTTAATAAAAAATTAGTTTGGTTTGTTCCCCAACTAAAGATTTACAAATCTAGGGCAAGCTGTGAATATCTAATCCTTATATGCCACCTCCATTTTACCTTCCTTGATAAATCAACAGGAATGCTGCATGCTGTATGGCATGGGTTGTCAACCGGGGGTATGCATACCTCTTGGGGTACTTTGGAAGGCCCCATGGGGTATGTGGCAGTTTGTTGGAGAAGCCGCTGGCACTTCCGGTTTCGCTCATCAACCGGCTGCTGAGGGACCCCCCGCCCCCGCCCCCCAGCTTGTTGACTGGCCATCAGGGGACTCCCCGCTTCTGGACTGGCCGAAAGGGGTACACTGACCAAAAAAGGTTGAAAACCCCTGCTGTATGATATAAAATCTAACCCTTGCTCCTAGGTGAGGCTCCCTGTTTAATCATAGTGGGTGTGTCTACACATGAATTTAAGTGTCCTTAAATTTAATGCATATTAAGCTAATGCTCATTAAGCAGTTTTTGGCAGATGTCTATATGTGCTGGGCATTTATACACATGTTTGTGTCACAATGCCAGGTGCTTTTAAAAGCTCCTGGTGCTATGGCATATGCATTTGTATAAAAGGCAAAATGCGCGTCAGTGCTGAGAAAATGGTGGCAGCATGCTTTTGAACTAAAATGCATTGAAGGTATTTTAGTTCAAAAGTGCACCGCTGACATTTTCACAGTGCTGATGAAAGTTTCACCATTTATACAAATATGTGTAACCCGGGTACACCCAAGGGTGTGCCCTATTCTCAGTTGAATGGGATGGGTAGGCAGGAGGGGGTGCTGTGAGACGGATGCCAGAATTTCGAGCAGATCCCTCTTTCCTCTATAGAGTTAGCCCAAGCCCAAAGTTCTTAACTATATACAATTTATTAAGTTATAACATACATAAACATGAAACTAAATATCATATACATATATTTACACAGTGAACACTAACCAGTAACCAAGGTCAAACCCTAAATAACACTATTTACAACATCAAAATACAACATTTCAATTACAAAATATAAGGTGCAAACATGAACAATCTTAATAACATCTATTGCCTTAATATAGTCCCTGACCCATGGCAAGAGATAGTCCTTCTTCCAGTGGGGTCCCTTGGGTGTCCAGGAAACACCAGGGGCCCCTCCCCTTAGGGCCTTGACTAGGCGGGGGGGCTGCTCACTTAGCCCCTTCTCTGGGTTTGCCCACCCCAAATATCTTTCCCCTGTGGGATCCAAGGGCCCAGTGACTCGCTCCCTCATGCAGCTCAATGGGTCTTCTCTGCTGGAGCGCCTCTCCAGGCCTCTCCTATGCCACTGGGCTCCTTTCTACCCTATACCCCGCTCTAGGCACCAAGGGCTCAGCTCCTCTTAGCTGCTGCACCACTGCTGCTGGCTCGGCCCTGAGGGCTCTCTTAGCACAGGTCAGGCCCTACGGGCTCCAGCCATCCATCCTCATGCTGGGTGGCTAACCCAAGCAGCCTCCGTTGCTCCTTGGCTCCCAAGGCTCGGGCCCGTGCACCGCCCTGTGCACCATGGGACATGGCTGCTTGCTGGGAGCTGGGGCCTGAGCCGCCTCACTGCAGCCCCAAGGCCTTTCCCCCACGTGATGCCCCGCGCACTGTGTGGCCTGCTGGCCCTGCCAGGTTGAGGCTTGAGCTGCAGCTTGCGGCTACCAAAGCCTGGGCTCTGTGGACTGAACCATGTATTGTGATGGGCCCGCGCAGTCTCACATCTCTCCCAGGGCCAGGTCTCTGTGCACCCTCCCTGTGCACTGTGCCAGGCAGTCTCGCACCGCTCCCAAAGCTGTTCCTCCAGTGGCAGCTTCAGGAGCCTTGGGCCTATTGCCCGCTGGGGGAGAGCTCCCCAGCTTTTCTTGGCTCCGCTCTTCTTGAGTCCCTCGCTGCATCTGCCCCTCCTGCTGGGCACACAGCTCCTTTCCTACGCTCCAGGGCTCCGCCCCTGAAGTCTTCCGGACCTGACAGTCTTCAATCAGGTCCGGGGGAGCTCTTCTCCCCCTCCCCTCAGGAAAGAGGCGTGACTTTATTTCTCCTGCTGCCTCCTGATTGGTGGATAGGCTCCACCAATCGAAACAGCAGGACCTCAAGCCTGGGACTCAACCCAGCTCTGAAAGGTGAGCCTGCTACATATGTGATGCAGCGCCCGGTGCGTCAGCTTGCATGCAGAGCAGACTCCATTAACTGCTGAATTTTGGAGCAGACAAATATATGTGTATAAATGACCGCTGTGACTTGGGACTAACTTTAGTCCCGTCACTCCAGCCCTGCCATGTCCCCCCGTGGCCACTGGGGGAAACTCCAGCCTTTGGACCAGGGGTGGGCAATTATTTTGGGCTGAGGGCCGCCTGCTGAGTTTTGGCAAGCCATGGAGAGCCGCATGACAGGCAGCCAGGGGCAGATAAATATTAATTTTCTAAAATCTTTAGGGGCCCCACGGGCTGGATAGAATGGCCTTGGGGGGCGGCACCCAGCCCACAGGCCACATTTTGCTCACCCCTGCTCAGGACACATGGCTGTCAGCACTTGGCAGCTATCTTAAAAGCACACCCTCCACACTGTGACCTCTGTCAGAACAGCAACGTGGCAGAGACAGAGGCAGCATCTGCCTGCTCTGCTCCTGCCGCAGCTGTGTTTCCCAGCCCTGGCTTCCCCAGCCCCTGGGACAGGGTCCTCCATGCTTCAGGGCTGTCACACCTGTCCTGTTTGCCTGCTGCTGTTCCACGTGCCTGGCACTTGGCCACCTTGCACTGCCTGACTCCCCCACCCACTCTGACCACTTGTTGGATGACTGGTACATGGCCTTCTGGGGCCCCTGCTGCCGCACAGCTGGTGCCACCAGCCGTGGTGACGACAGGCTCCAGGATGCCACTTCTGGGACCACCATTGCCCTCCTGTCCCACCAGCCGTCCACCCCCTCTGGGACCGCTGTGCAAGCTGGAACTGGTGGCAGCACATGCTGCAGGAATGGGATGACAAGCACTGGGTTGACATGTTCTGGATGACCCAGGCCACCTTTTGAAGACCTGCTGCACCAGCTCTGCCCCTACCTGGAGTGCCAGGACATGGAGAAGCACCCAGCTGTCCCCACTGACACCTGCATGCCCTGCCTCCCACACACCCCCTACCCCCCAGCACCATTCCAATATATGCATGTTTCTCATGAAAACCTTTTGTTCCCCTCACAACCCCCACCTCCCTCTCAACCAAAAGAGCTCCCTCTCCCGTCCCTCCCCAAAACACAGAGCTCATCCACCACCCTCCTCACCCACCAACAATAAAATCCCCAGTGTCCAGGCATCCCAGTGCTTTAAAAAAAAAAGCCCCAAACTCACCAGCTGCTGCAGCAACCATCGGGGCTCCTGGGAGCTCATGGCTGAACGCCCCCATGCAGCGTGGGGCAGTGGGTGGCAGTGGGGATGGGGCCTCCCTGCCTGGCAGGGGCTTTAAAAAAAAACCTGCTGGGATGCTGAAGTCAGGTGGGGCAGCCATTGATGGGGCTGGGATAGTGGACGGGGAATGGGAGCTTGTGGCAGAGCCCCAGACACAGCACAGGGCAGTGGGGGGCAGCAGGGATTTTCCCCCCTCTTCCCCCCCAGCCTGGCAGGATCTGGTGAGTGCAGGGCTTTTCTTTCTTCTTTTTTTTAAAGAGCCAGGATGCTGAGGCCAGGTGGGGCAGCCATGGGGGTGGGGGCTGGCAAAGCAGGCAGGGGATGGGGCTTGTTCAATTCAGAGATTTGGCGGAGGCCGAATTGATTTGGGATAGTCATTTGACTCACTGAATTGAATCACTGTCCCCCTGCATTGGCTGAATCCAAATCTGAAGCAAATACTAGTCGTTTCGCACAAGCCTACCTGCCAGAGTCCTCCCCAGAGAGGAGCTGTTGGCTGGCAGTGACGTTGCTGGCCTCTTCTCATGGCACAGTGTGGGGCTGGGCTGAGGGCAAGGCAGCTGCTGGGCAGTGCTCTGCAAGGTGCCAGTGGATGCAGCAGTCATGGAGGTGAGTGGGGTGGGGTGCTGAAGGCATGAGGTCTCCTCCTCTGATGATGCATCACCAGAGGCATCAGGGCAGGGTGTGGGCAAGGGAAGGCTGCCCCTGCTGGTGGCACT